CCCCCAAAAAAACAGCTTCTTAATATCTTTCAGAAGCACGATTGCAATCACATACCAGTTGTTACACCCAGCCTGGGAGAGGCTCGTGTCCTGGTTGCCATTAGCAACCAGAGCATTTGTACGGGGTCCAGCTCCAAACCCATGTGAATGAAAATAGGGGGTGTTTCCTGAAAGCCACTTATTTTTCAACCATACAGCCAATAATTCAATTAACTGATCCTAAAGAAGACTATTTAAGGGTTTCTCTCTGCTTGTTTCACTGCTCAGACATTGACAACACTATAGGTTTTGCTGCACTCCTTTTTTCCTGGAGCCCTGAATGTGCAGTGTTATATTCCCTTTCTGCCCATTCCCTTTTTCCTTTATGCCTACCCTCATTAATCTTTCAATTAACCTGCACCCACTTCTCTCTGACCCCTCGTTTAAGCCTCGGTTCATCTGAAGATCCTCAAGGTTGCTCCAAGACCTCCAAGACTATACTGGGGTATTAGGACCCACACAGACAACAGGGTGAGCGCCCCCTACTGGCCCCACTAACACCTCTACCAGCAGCAATCTTTTTCGCAGGAGATCTCGCATCCAGGTACTGACCAGGCTCACACCTGCTGAGCTTCAAGGGGTCACCAGTTGTGAGCTGCAGGGTGATATGGCTGCTGGCGAATGGCATGGCATGTTGCTGAATAGCTCTCTCTGGTACCCTGGCATGTGTCTTTCTAACACAGAGGCATACACTTCAGTCCTGGCTACCCCGAACAATCCATCTGGATCCCCCTACCCTGTTTTCTCTGAGTCCAATACTGAATGGAGGGGGGAAGAAGACAATTTATGAGCTTTGCTGCCTTCTGTAGAGTCACTTATGGTATCCGAGTCCTCTCCTGTGTCCAGTGGCACAATCTGGATCTCCAAAATCTCTTTTCTTCAAATCCTGCTCTGCCTGTCCTTGTGACTGAGCATTTATTCAAACTGTTGGACAAAGTTACATTTTTCAAAGTAATTAATTACAGTTACAAATTACTTATGTGGAGATTATTTTTGAATTTGACAGAAGTTAGAGAAATAATTAAAAAGTCATTTCTTACAATGCTCTTTGTAATGTGTTTGTAATGTGTAGTAAAACTTTGTTACTACTTTTAACAAACAGCTAGGAATTGAAATTGTTTTTAATTTAATTTATTTAATTATTTTTTAAAGTAACTTTACATAACAGTCGAAAATCTCGTTAATATCTGGAAATACATAGAGAACATTGATCTCTCTCCCAGAGTACTGACTACAGAAACTCAGATTATTAGACTGTTGAGTAAGAATGGCATCTTTATATTTTATTGTTTTTATTCAAAGCATTTTATATTTCAGTGAATTTAAACAGTCATCAAAGAGCAGTACAGAATTGCATTTCATCTGGGATTGGAACTTGCAACCTTCTCTAAACTCAAAACCTTCTTCTTTGAAGAGCCTTACTTAACTGGTTATGTTCTTTACCCCTCTGCTCCTACTATACTTAGTACCACCATCCACGGTCTCCTATGTGCATTGTAATTGTGTTTTATCTTGTGTTTATTTATTGTTGTCACTTTGAAAAGCGCTTTGAGAAGCCACCTTTAAAGGCGCTATATAAAATAAAGTTTATTATTATTATTCTAGTTACAATTCTGGAAACCACACTAATATTAACACACGTAGTTGCAGTGACAACTGTCATAGTAATAATAAGAGATACAGCACCAGTAGTGGGATTAGTACTAGTAATAACAGATAATGTCTGTATAATGCTTTTAAGAAATATGTGCACCTAAACTCACACTAGTCTATTAGTCTTATTATCCCCTCGCTTAAAATTCTCCCTGTGTCTGCACCTAGTTACCCATCACTATGGATAAGGATAGAGCTAAGTATTTCAAGTAGGTAGCTGCGTCAGCATGCGTAGGCTGCAAAGGAACAAGTAATGGTTTATTCCATGCTGAAAAGAGAAAAAAAGAAACACAACGTTTCGGCTGTGGAGCCTTCTTCACATTAATTAAATTTATGGCTCCTCTATGACCCTCCTAAATACTCCTAACCAGAATGAAATCAATGTGAGCACAATTAGGATTTCCATGTGGCATATTTGTCACAAATATGAATCCAATCCCAAGCTCTATGGTAGAACTACAAGACTCTCTATAATCCTAAAATGTATATTGGGAATTTAAATTTGTCACAATTATTACAAGGTATGAATAATTGTCTGTATGAGTCATTACAGACAATAAGGCTAATAAACCTGAGCGTCTGAGCACAGGCTGTGCTGTCCTTGAACTTTCAAAACATTTTTTTTTTCTTCTGTAATAAAGTAAGTAACTCCGGTAAGTAATCTAATGAAAGTCCTGCTGGAGAACTTTATCAAGGAAACACTTACTGGGCACTGCAAGTAAGTACATTATCTAACATTGCCTGGACATTTGTAAGGTATTCATTTATTTAAAAAATGAATAGAGATTCATTTATAGTGAGAAAACAAAAAATTCCGCTAATATGTGTTTAACTGATAGCTTTCAGTAGTTGCACCCTCCAAAACTCTGCTCAAGTGATGTTGTTTTATTTAAAATTTCATTTTGAATTTGCAATTGTCTTGTTCTGAGGTAATCACTACCTCACCAGTGATTTCAGTGTGAACATATATTTGTTAGAATAATAGAAAATAGACAGATCAGTAGAAAATGAGAGCCAAAAGTCTGTTTCAATGCTTTATAGATTTGATTTATTGCATTATCAGTTGCATACAGTTAAGAAAGAGCCTGCAAGCTGAATAAAGCTATTGTGGATCCAGCAATTGAGCAACTGGGGTCTGAAAGCTGTCCTTGTCACATGCAGATCAAATCTAAGACAGTGAATCACAGTTCAGTCCCCTACTAGAACTCCAGTGGGAATATCAGGATATCAGGAGCATCCTTGTCATGTCCTGTAACTAGAGTGATAACCTGACCCTGCAGGGTGACTGTGTGCTCTGCCACATGCATACAGTGTCTCTCACACAGATGTGTTTTAACAGAAGATGGGCTCTGTGTAAGGTGCTCTCACTGTAGGAAGAAGCAAGCGGCCGATTGACAGACAGTTGCCTTTGGTTCTCACAATGCAGTGAGACTGGCAGCAAAATTGGCAGCAATTATTTCAATTTTTTAATATATTTTTGCCTGGAGCAGTTAGCTGAGATATCACAATAATAATAACAGAAAAACAACCAAGGTGGAACTCATACTTTCTGCATCCTGTGATTTTAGTACTTCAGTAGAGGATTTTGTAAGAACCTTCTTTATTCCATAGATATCTTTTAGAAAGCTGAGATTCTCTGTCTAATTACAGAAGTTTTCTGAAATGGCTTGTATTCCAAGTCTGTCCCAAAATGAGCCACCAAGGATGTTGACTCCAGTTAGTCATGTTATTAATTCACATTAATGAGGACTTAGAGTGGAATAACAGCCAGGAGTTCTGCTTAATAAACACATTATCTTGGGAGAATGTGAAAAAATGTTCAGACTGATGGTATGAGACTTATGAGGATAATGTCCTAAGTTCAAGGATGGTTAAGATGGTCTAAGAAAGTCCTCGGCCATTTTCTGTTAGTATTATTATTATTTTGCCATTACATTGCGCTGGCCTCTTCTTTGGTCTCCACTCCTGCGTTGATCTCCTGCTCCTCTCTCACTTCCTGTGTCTCCTCCGCTTCCTCTCCATACAGAGGGTACTGGCACACGTAGGGTCTCCGGGCACGGCAGCTAACTTGTGACCAGCGTGCACCGTCTGCAGCAGAAGGGGGAATTTGAACAAGAGTTTCACCTTTGCCAATATACTGTATTGGTCGTCCAGTCAACCACATTACTTTCAGATGATCTTTGAATCAGTAATCAAGAAAGCTGTTGCTTTCATGCACAAATGAAACATCAGTTGCCCAGTTG